AGGTTGTCCTCTGTTTGTAACGAATTTCCCCTTTTTTACCCCAGATTTGATATCCTGCCTCTTCCACTTCCCTTTCCTATGCTGGCAGGTGACCCGTGTTCCTTGTCTTACGGTGCTGGGACTGATCTCTAACCTGAACAAGCAAAATGTTCACACGCCAAATTATGGTTGTTTTTCCCACTCTTCCACGTTTAGGACTCCTGTCTCTGCTTCCGCGCTGCCAAGCACAGGGCATGGTCCTGGCACAGCACCTCACTATCCTGCCGAATTAAGTGTCTGGGGCACAGGGTTGTCCCTGCCAATAGCTGCAGCACCGCACAGGGGAGGCAGCGGCAGCACGATCTGGGATCTGGCTGCAGCGCCAGGGATTTCTCTGCAGAAATTGCGTATCTGTTGCTATCTTGGTACAAGATGGTGGCATCACTCTCAACAGTTAATTGTTGGTTATAAATATCAAGCTGATGGATGGATAAAGGTTTTACAAGCAGTTATCCTCACTCTGGTTCACATTTCACTGTGCCCGTAAACTTAGAATGTGTGATTTCCACCCACTAAACAGACCCATGGATTTCCAGCTGTCATTTCAGTCTAGATCCCTAAAAACCAAACCAAAACCAAAACAACACTTCCTCAAACAGAAAAGAAAGAAAAAAAAAAAAGCTGCTCTTTTTAAAACCCTAAAAAATTAGCATTCCAGTAAGTTAAGTTGCCTGAAGTGTGGGAAGCTGCTGTTACATCCCTGTTAAAAATAAATTTTTAAGTACTAGGCTACTGGTTTCCACAAGAAAATAAATTCTGCATCTGGGGGTTAGCCTGCATTTGCACAGCAGGTCAGTGCTATGAGAGCTGTAGCCATCAGTCGGCTCTGCACAGCTTGGGTCTAACTCTTCCAAGTGCTCCTCTGGCGTATATCTTTCTATACATTTTTCTATTTCAGCACTAGTCCCGAAGCACGTTTACCTTTTCCTGAAACCTAGAGGCAAAAGCTTAGCGTTTGAACAGGTATAGAGTTAGTCGTATTTTTTGTCTGGGCAAAGCCTTGTGCAGAAGGATTCGTGGCGCAGGGTTGTGAGCCCGATGTACGGGTGGGCTTGCATCGTCTCCTAAGGTGCCAAAGGCATCTCCATGAGCTTCCTCTACAGCCTGGTTGAAAATGGACTGTGAAGAAAATGTGAAATTATTCTCTGGGTATCACACTGCAAGATACAACTGTGATCAAGAGCTTAGTGGGGTTTTTTTTTTAATGATTAAACTTTTCAAGCTTCCAAAGGGTGCTGATGCACGGCAGTAGCTGGGGAACAAAGCGGGAACATCCCTGAAGGCCAGGAGGCTGCTCGAGACCCTTGGGAGTGGGAAGGAGGTGACAGGGGCTGGCAGCCCCTCGCAGCTGACCAGTTCTTCAATAGCTGCTGG